ACCGTCTTCATAATAACATCCGAAGTATCATCACCATCATCTTCCGATTGATCTGAATATTCATTATCATCATCAACATCATCATCATAATCCGTATCATCATCATCATTATCCGATTATTCATCATCATCTTCATCATGATTTTCATCACCCGAATCATCGTCATCATCATCATCACCAAAGTCATCATCATCAACATCATCCGAATCATCCGAGGCATCATCGGCATCATCATCATCATCATCATCATCATCATCAACCGATTCATCCGAATCATCGTCATCATCAGCGTCATCATCATCATCCGAGTTATCGCAATCAGCATAATCAGGTTCATTATCCTGGGAAACATCATCATCATCATCAGCAGCACCAGCCAGGTCATCATCATCATTATCATCCGAATCATCATCATCATCATCATCCAATTCATCTGAATCACCATCATCAATTTCGTCATGCCATTCATCCGAGTCATCATCATCATCATCATCATCATTATCAACATCATCATAAATATCATCATCATCCTCTTCATCATCATCATCATCATCAACATCATCATTATCATCATCATCCTCAGCATCATTTTCATTTCATTCAGCCGAATCATCCGGATAATCATCATCATTATCATCAGCATCACCAGCCAGGTCATCATCATCATTATCATCCGCATCATCATCGTCATCATCATCATCATCATCCGAATAATCATCATTATCGTCTTCAACCAAATATTCCGAATCAGCATAATCATCATCATAACCATCATCATCATCGTCAACATCATCAACATCATCATCATCTACATCATCCAAATCATCATCATCATCATCATCCGAATCATCATCATCATCATCATCATCATCATCATCATCTTCATCAACATCATCTTCATTATCCGATTCTTGCAAATCATCATCATCATCACAATCATCAAGCGAATCTTCCGAATCATCGTCATCATCATCATCATCATCATCATAATCCGAATCATCACCATCCGAATCATCTTCTTCATCATCATAATCATCATCATCATCCGAAGGATCATCATCATCATCATCGTCATCATCATCATCATCATCATGTTCTATACCATCATCATCATCATTGTCATCCGAATCATCGTCACCATCATCATCATCATCATCATCATCATCCTCATCATCATCATCATCATCATCATCATCTTCATCATCATCATCATCGTCATAACAGTCATCGGAGTCATCAACAACATCATCATCCTCATCATAATCATCATCGTCATTATCATCATCATCATTAACATCATCATGATCATCATCGTCATCATCATGATCATCATTATCCGGTTATCACCAGCATAATCATTTTCATCTGGCTCATCATCATCATCATCATCATCTTCATCATCATCATCCGAAACACCATCATCATCAACATCATCATCATCATCATGATCATTATCCAGTTATCACCAGCATC